AAGCTGACACCACGATAAACCTTTTCAAAACTATGCTTATTGATGTTAAAATAGATGTGTTTTATCATACTAGTTAATATTATAAATGCAAAAGTTTAGATAGATGTTTTTTACAGTTTGTACTCTATACGGCTGAACGGATTTCGATGAAATTTGGTATAGATGTAGAGGATAATTTGAAAGAACACATAGCCCGCTTTTGTTTCTTTTTCAATGAGTCGCTGGCGAAAGCTAGTATCTTATAAATAAAACTCATCATTTGTTTTAAATCTATAATGTAGTATCTATTTAGTAATTCTTTCGTCAACAGAATTACTGTAGAAACTCTAAACTTTTCAAATATCTATAAAAACTGATTAATATGAAAAAAACATTAATCGTTACTGCCAGTCCCCCTAGACCCAGCGTAGATAATCTGCTGATGACGCCCACCAACATACTTTAAAAAATTACTTACGTTTTTTTTAAATTTAATTCGAAGCGATGTCCGAAATTATTTAACCGGGTCACGTAAATAAAATATTAAAGTTTCAGACGAACAGGATAAAATGATTATTGTCAAAACTGCCTTGCGTACTAATGAAATTTCTGCTTTATGAAATAAACTAGCTGTTTCCGTGCGGCTTCATCCGCAAGTTATTATGAAAAATTTATTTTATTGTTAACATTTGTTAAATTATCAATAGCAAATATCAAAATGACATGACATAACAAAGCTTGACAATCTTGCTTCCTTGATGTTGGCAGCAACTTATGGTCTCTTTCCCACATTAGGGTTTTTGTCAAAAGTATTTAGCCCCTAAGGTTAGTGGCGTGAAAATATATAGCCTAAAGCGTGACGTAAGTATAGGGATTTTTAATCAAAAATATGCAGTAATTGCTGACATCTTAGGCAACAAAGAAGTGTGTGTTTACGCTTTATAATAATAGTGTAGATTCCACATCATTTATAAGATAAACCAAAATGAAAAATGTTTATTGCGTCCTATTCTCTTAGTTGTGATAACTCCAAGAGCAATCGATTTAGCAAATTAAATCTCTTTGTGCGAACATGTCGGTAGCAAGGCGGTAAATTAAAAACCAAGACTAGCATATAAAGGCTCCGCTCGAGAGAGTGAATGACGTTAGATGAACGTGCTCTATCGTGTTGAACATGTTCTGATCGACGAGCAGAGTACACTGTAAACTATTTATAACCATAATAACGCTTATAATTAAGGTTAAGAATTCACCACTGACTCGTGGCCGTCTGAATCAGATCTATAAATTTTCGCTTGATTGATTTTAAAACAAAAACAATTAAAACAAAAAGTTATTGTGATTTTTACAATTTCAATCTCATAATGTGTCTTAAAGCACACATCTGTTTATCGTGTCTTAATTTTTTTAATAGAAGCGTGTATGAAGTAGTCCTCATGTCTATAGACTGTAAAGTTAGCTACAAGTGATCTAAACAAGCCGCTGGCATCTCGCCAGGCCCGCTGGCAGACGCGGCGACGCTAACTTGACTTGTAGGTTACGAAGCACTTTCTTTCACTGCGTCTTAATAACAGTTTTTCATTTAATGCAATTTTCTTCTAACTTCAATTTGCTGTACTTATATGGACCAAATTTTGTCGAAAACGAAATTCGACTTCTACAATATTTTGCCCGCGTATTGTAAAACCGCTAGTAGATCATAAATAAAGAGACATTTAAACAGACGTCTGAGAACCTAATTAAGGTTTTGGTAAGCATTATACAAAATAAATACTCACATAGAAACTGTACTAATGACATTACTCATGAACAAAATACATGCTTTAGTATGGCTGCTGGCTCAATACATCGAGCCGCGTCGTCAATATCTCATTACTTTGCTCGACAAAGTCATAAACAACGTTACCACGACTCCCTTATTTCTTTGTTAAGTATTTCTAACGTATTACATTCTCAGTTTTTAACAGTGGTAGAGCCCGCATCCAGCATTTGCTGGTGCACGAATGGCCCGCTCGCCCGGTGTAATACCACGACCACACGAAGACAGGCGTGAAGTGGAAGCGATTCCGCGTTTCGTCCTGATGAGTG